GAAAGGACCAAGAGGACCCCCAGGCAAACCAGGAATGGATGGTGCTCCAGGTCAACAAGGACCAGAAGGACCAGCTGGACCAACCGGAAAGGCAGGCAAACCTGGTCCAATGGGACCACCAGGCAAAGAAGGCACGCTCGGACAGAAGGGACCAACTGGTGAAAAAGGTATCCGAGGCAAGCAAGGTCCACCTGGCCCACCAGGTCTTCCTGGCATGGACGGACCAGCCGGAAAGGACGGTCCCACAGGACCCCAAGGTCCTAAGGGCAAGATTGGTGAAGCAGGCCGACCAGGCCGTGACGGTCCAGCAGGTCCGGCTGGCGACCCAGGCAACGATGCTCAATATTGCCCGTGCCCGCCTCGAACACAGGCCAAGAAGAGGTTCCATCACTGATCCTGAAGATCAGTTTCCACGTCTCCCGCGCGAGATACATGGAGATTTTGTCCTTCTAGTATGCCGAAGTAGAATTTTGAATACCGTTTCTTTGTTAAACCTCGTAAAATCGCAACAATCTGAATTAAAAACATTCATGCAAATTGTTGACTATGTTACGACTTAAAATCGCACTACAGCGATAGAGTACTACAGTACTGCGATAGAGTACTACAACAGACGGACTGTAGTGTGATCAAACCATTAGCAATGTAAACAAGAAATGTTTCAATGGTCGATTTTCGCCTTACGCCCAAAACCACTGAATCGAACCTACCAACCGTAGTGTAATCTAGTGCTGATTTATATAGAACTTTCGGTTCTAAACTTGGTCAGGATACAGTGGGCTACAAGTACTCTGCGACTGTCTTATTGTGTGTTTGTGTGGTGAAGAAATTGGCGCCGGTGCACGCCTGCGATTTTGCCTAACGCTCCATCAGTTCAACGTGAATGACGTTGTCAGTGAGGCACTACCAGTCACTGTTGACATAACCGATGAAGCGGTGATGTGGATGAGTTATAAAATGCTAATGTTAAAGTTTTTGCCTCACCAGTAGTTCCGTCCTCGATGACGTCTGTGGTTAATACCATTTTTACGCACCTCAAGGAGCAACGACCCTCTCCGGCTTCAATACCATACCTGCACCTGTATGACAAACATACCGCAAACAGCTGTTATTTCCTTCTCGATTCCGGCCTATGCCACTTCCGTGTTTGCGATTAAACCTCCACAGCTTGAGGAAGGGTTCATCGAGCGTAAAGGTGCCGTTACTCGTCTAGATTGACAACGGGGACAGTTGGCGATGCAAAATCTGCCATCGCCTA